AAGAGGCCTAGCTTTTGGCCTGTCTCGGCTTTCGACATGCCTTCCTCACTAAGCTTAATCATTTCTAGCTTTTGATTTAAAGTGAGAGACGTGCGACTCTTCCTTTCACTTGAACAGTTAGAGGCCATTGTAGGGTTATTAATTGGCCTAATTTCAATATTGTTGTGTCTTAGGGAAGAGGGAGGCCCGAGGAGAGGGAGAGAGATGGGGGAATGGCTGGTCGGTGGAGCAGTCAGAACACACACAACATTTATCGATTAAGTTCGCCGTCTTATATGGGCGCTGTTCGTGGCGCCCCAAAACAATTACAATAGTAACATCAAAGATCACAGATCACCATAACAAATATAATTATAATGAAAAAGTTTGAAATATTGCAAGAATTACCAAAATGTGACACAGAGACACAAAGCGAGCAAATGCTGTTGGAAAAATGGCGCCGATGGAAAAATGGCGCCGATAGACTTGCTCGACGTAGGGTTGCCACAAACCTTCAATTTGTAAAAAACGCAGTATCTGCGAAGCGCAATAAAGTGAAGCGCAATAAAACGAGGTATGCCTGTACAACATTTTAACCTCAGACTTGATGAAACTGAATGCAGCAACAAACCCTCAAATATCATCAATCTTTCCCCACACACGCTTACCAAAACTGAAAAATCTGTCCTTTCTAAAGGCCTAAATCTCTGTCCAGAAAAATACCCTAATAAAATACTTGAATGTGGAGAAGTAGAAGAATTCTTCCAATGCCTCTGCCTCAAGGAATACTTCCAGAACCAAAATTAATCCATTTCCAACAACAACTCATCCTCTAACAACATTGAGGAAAATTTCAACCCCAAAAAACATCAGATTGGACACTTCACAGTGAATGAAACTATAACCTTGACTGCTTCAGGGAAAGAATGAACAATTAAATAATCAACAACACATGCCACCATAACAACCTCTCTCTACCACAGAGAAAGGCCATAGAATCTCTAAGATCTAACCACCAAATACTAATAAAACCAGCAGATAAAGGAGAAGCAATAGTCATCCTAAACTGTGAAGACTACATAAAGGAAGCCAACAGACAACTCTCTGATACCACCTACTACAAAGAACTACAAGAAAATCCCACTCCCCTATTCAGCATGAAACTAAAAAATACCATCAAATCATATCCATCAGAACTATAAGAAAAATTACAGACCTTGATTCCCCCACTGCCCAACCCAGGATCTTTTTACATGCTCCCTAAAATCCACAAACCAGGGAACTTTGGCAGACCTATCATTTCCAAACATGGGACCCTAACTGAGGAAATATCAGGTTTCGTTGAATCAATCCTAAAACTGCTTGTCACCCAAAGTGCAGGTTTTGTCCAAGACTACAGACTTCCTATGAAAACTTAAAAACATAGTCCACCTTCTCAGCAACACCTTCCTAGCCACCATGGGCGTTACCAGATTATATACCAACATCCCACACCAGGATGACATCCACGCCTGCCTTACATATCTAGAAGAGCAAGACTACAACTCAGAGTATAGACCCAAAGATATTACTGACCTTATCCACTTCATCCTCACACACAACAATTTCACTTTTAATAACCAACAATTCCTTCAGACCACTGGCACAGCTATGGGCACTAAAATGGCCCCACAGTATGCCAACCTTTTTATGAGCTACCTGGAAGAAGAATTTCTCAAGGACTGTACCATCAAACCCTTGCTATACTTAAGATATATCAATGACCTCTTCATCATTTGGACTGAAAACCTGCAATCTCTGAGTTCCATCAGAAACTCAAGAATCAGCATCCCTCTACTCAGCACAAAATCAGCAATCACCCTAAGCACACCAAGAAAGCTATGATATACAGCCAAGCCTTCAGATACCACTGAATTTTCACTGTGGCGAACACTCAGAATTGCCACCTCACCAATCTTAAAAAGGCTTTCACCCAAGAAGGACACTCCTCCAGAGAGATAGATTGCATGTTTGAAAGAAATGCCATGTGAAGAATCGCTGCAATACAGAAGAAAACCCCCCACGAATCACACACTGTGTTATGATATATCACCCCTCCCTCAAACCCATACAGAAAATCCTTAAACAATTGCAATCCATATTTAACAGGGAACCCTAATACTGTTACTAAGAGACAGGGTGGCCCCTTTAAGCCCAGAACCTTCCAGTCATGGCCGGCCGGTCAAGTAGGGGTTAAGGCTCAAGCCCTGCCAGCCGGTCAGGTGACCGGAAGAGGCAGGGCCTGGCTCGCATATGAACCCCAGGGCCGAGGCCAGGATGGCAGTTCCCTGACAGCAGCCAAGGGGGAAGAAGCACTCCCAGAGCAACCAAAGGGGAGAGGCCTGACTGCAGATACAGCCTCTGGTACAGGTGAGGGCTGGAGCACCCCGGGTGTGGCTTGGATGATGTTATAGATGGGGAGCTTGAATTTATGTTATAGGCCAGGGGCTTGTGTTTTGTTTCCTGTTTAAAACTGGTGGCTTGGGTAAGGCTATTAGGGGATGGAGGAGGCCTCATAGGGGACCCATGGCAGCGTGAGGACCCTAGCGCCAGAGAAGGCGCAGCATTTTGGGACACGCCAACCCCAGCACCAGAGAGGGTGCAATATTTGGGGATGAGATCACCCCAGCACCAGAGAAGGCACAATATTCAGGGATGAGTGGACCCCAGCACCACAGGGGAGCAGGAGCCCGAGTGAGGGTTGTTTTTTTTTTTGAGAGCTGGAGCCTGGGAGCCAAATCCTGATTAGTGGGTTGTTTTTTGACTCACAGGCCTAGCTAGAAAAAAGAGGTAGACCCACAGTGGCCTAGACCCCGACATAAAGAGGAATTTACAAATACCATCTGCAAGGCTTGGGCTGCAGTGTAGGGGAGGAACGGAGCCACAGATAGTGCCCCCTAGCATCAGGGCAGAAAATGGGCAGCCTCCTGCTTAATTACATCTATTAATCAATTAACAACAAGGCATGGCAGGCGAGAAGGTGGGCAGTCAGCCCATAACAGGTGGGCAGGGCCACCAGTGGATGGACCCCAAAGAGGGGTCCTGTTACACCATACTAGAAAGAGACCCTATTCTTAAAGAGTTCTTCCCAGGACCATCCATCCTAGCCTTCAAACAATCACCGAACCTCACTAACCTCATCACCAGAATCAAACTTCCTCAGGCCCAGAACACACCAAATGGATCCAGACCATGCCATGACAAGAAATGCAAAACCTGTCAACACATCTCCACCACCCCCACAATTACTACATCCCACAACAGATCCATCAGCATCCCTGCATCTTACAGCTGTGCCTCCAGAAGTGTAATATATCTCATACAATGAACCAAATGCCCTGATGGAAAATATGTAGAAGAAACCAAACAATAACTGCGCACCAGAATGATGCACACTGGAAATCTATCAAAGACAAGAATATCCAATTACCGGTGGGAGCACATTTCTCACAAGAAAACCACTCTTTCTCCAATCTCTCAGTTCTAATCCTCAACGGAAACTTACTTCCCAGAGACGAGCCTATGAACTCCACTTCATCAACCTCCTGGATACAAAAAATCATGGACTAAATATAGACATTGGATTTATGACACATTATAACCTGCCTGACATCTGACTTTCCAGGTACCTCTCCACTATTTAATAGTTACATTCATCCCACTTCTTTCCCCTCCCCCCCGCCTGTCTCTCGCCCACTGACTCCTCAATTTACATCTTCACTGATTGCCTGTCTCACATGCTTACTAGCCCAGCCTCTGGCTTCTTTACTATTCATTCCAACCAGGAAAAGCACATACCAAATGCAGAGATTTCCTCAGCCTGACGGAGGGTTTTTAAACCCGAAAGCTTGCTAAAAATTTTTTTCCAACTATTTAAGTTGATATAATAAAAGATATCAGATTTACCCAAAGAACCTTGTCTGCCTACGTCCTTAGACCAACATGGCTACAACCTACACCCTTGTATAAGTGAAATCACTTAGTCAACAAAAAGTAATACTCAGTCATTTCAGTTACAGCGCATATTTTCCAAGTCTGCAAACATCAGGAATTATCCCATGGAACAAAATGAAACTGCTTATAATATAGGTCTTGGCATATAAGACACTTAGTATATGTTAAATCTGTTTAGTGTTGAAGACAGAATTTGTTCTGATTAGTTCCGTGGCAATGTTTACTACAAGCTTTAATGCGCACAGGTCTTTGATTGTCAGTGTCAGCCCCAGCACTGCACCGGAGTCTCGAACTTCTGTAATCTCCTTGGAGAAGTCTGATGATAGCTGAACAAGTATTACTTTATATTATCTGGATATACTCTTCCCATGGAAAGTCCTAATTTTGCTACGATACAATCATTCTTAGAATGTGTTTTACTTCTTGAATGTGCGAATCCTCATATTTTAAGGACAGTTAATATAGTCTACATTTAACGTGTGACATGTCTCTAAGTGTTTTCATGATCATAAAATAGTTTTGATGTCCAGTAGTTAGCAGGCAAGAAAAAAATCCTTTTCCATCTGGGCCTGATTATTTCAAAACATTTTTCCATTCATTGTTACATTGACAGCACAACATGCTTTATCCTAGCTTTTACAATATATTTTTAAAAAAGGTATTTCCTAATTTAACAAGCCTCACTACACTGAGGTATGGTCTCCTACTCAGCAATACAGTAAATGCTTTCTATCCACATAATTTGTAATTTTTTAACTGAATAACAAAAGAAGCAAGTCTTACCTGTTGTGCATCTTCCCATTTTTCCTTGTTCTCTTCATCTAGGAGATTACTAACTATTTGAAAGAAGTTCTGAAAAAATCAAGGAAATAAAAAAAGTCAAATTAAACTCAAGCATATAACAAATACCATTCATACCACTAAGTTCATGCCATTAAGTCATTATTGCAAATGATTGTTTTAGTGATGGCCTTTTGAACTGCATTGCCTACCGCTATTATAAGACATTATCCAGAGATTAAAACATTGAAGAGCTGAAGTAATTTTTTCCAGACAGGGTCAGATTACTAAACCATTCATTCCAATCATACTTGTAGTCACAGGTGCAGTATTACCAGTATTAGTATTCAGAGATTAGTAGGTGGTAATCTCAATTTTTCTGAAGATCCAACATACATAGTTAACAATTAGTCTTTCCAAATTTTCCTGAGTCTGTACATTCTTTTGTTTTAGTTTGCACAAGACAGGTAAAATGCTGAATTATTCTGCTATATATTAGTGTTATATTTCTAGTCCAGCTAAAATCAGGAGTACTGGAAATCTCTTAAAAGCCATATTTCCAAAACCATAACATCCATGTAAATGCATAAAAGATTTGGATAAGCAACCAAACTGAAATTTTATGGGACTGTTTTTAGGTTTGCTCATGGATGATGTTTCCACTTTAGCACAATTTTTTTCAAGTAAATTAATATATTAGAAATAACATCATAAAACTGGGAAAGAGACAAAGTGACATATGGGTTATTCTGTAATGCAGTAAAGAATGTACAAATAGAAAATAATTCCTAAACCTAGGATTAGAACATATTATTACAGTGGTATTACTTAACTCTTTAACACTGGAAGACTAACTTCAGATATATAATAGGTGTGATAGTAACATCTGTCTTGTACAAAAGCAAAAGCCCCATAAAGAGGTTTGCCTCAAGATTTTAATGCTTTGACATTAATATATAATACATTTAATATATTGCAGTAAAGGTATTTTGGTCTTTTACCCACACAGAAGTTCACCAATACCAATAAAATGGTCCAAACCCTTTGGTAAAGACACAGTTACACTGCACTGATATAAATGTATCCATACAAGCATAGTTTATTCATTATGGGAATGAAAATAAACTAGACTACTGATCTAAACTATGCCAGTTACAGAAAACTATGTAACTATGATTAATTCCACCTTGGGCTTTTTGAATGTCTGTAGCTAGCTTATGTATTTAAGAATATTTATACAATAGTACATGTATCTACTCTAGAGGTTGTACCAATGTAACTAGATCAGTAAAAAATAACTTCTAAACTAATTATACTAGTACAAAAACTGTGTAGGTGAAGCCTTAATAATGAATTTCTTTTTAAAGCATGGTATTCCCTTTCTTAAAAACTCATAAAGACATAACACTAATCAAAGTACAGGATGGAGGGAGATAGTGGTGCAAGCTGATATATATTAGTTTCCAAGGACCAATGTGCACTGTTGTTCAGTCCTGAGTTATTCTTGATTTGTCTCTCTTGAGTGCAGTATAGTGGTTCTGGAATATGAGTAAACATTTATTGGAAAGTACCGTGACAGCAGATTACCACACTGTTTTTCCTTGTTCCTTATCTATGTTAGGAACAAGAGAACAGTAAAATATAGTTGTATTAGAACAGTAAATATTGGAATCGATCATTGATGCCATCACTATACTCAGAGACTAATAAGGGACACATACTTTAACTCACTGTTCTTCATATTATAGAAAAAAATAGCAAGTTTTTGTACCTAAAAACAGAAAGGTTAAAGGCTTGCAATCCAAAGGTGTTTTAGATTTGGAGGGTCAGCAGGGTCTAAATTCAGGAGCTAGAGAATGGTGCAAGGTGCTGTGAATTAATCCGTAGCCTTGGCTGGAGAGAGCGAGAAAGCTGTTTATTATGACATGGGAAAGGTGCCTGGTCAGAGGTCCCAGCTAAGGGCATTGACAGGGTTTCTTTTCTAAATCTCTTCTGTTTCAAGAGAACAGGCTTAGTGTACAGCTTGTAGATAAACAAATTACACTAAGTAAATACCTGACTCAGAGTCACCAGTTTGTGTTCAAACTGGAAATCTGAACTGGAAGGCCCCTAAAATATTCTACTCAACAATGAAGGAATAGTATTATTTCATTATATAGAGGGCAATCTATGGCCTCTTTCCAACTAGGTGTGCCAGCTTTTGAAATGTTACATTTCCTTCTGTCATTTTAGAAACTTAAACAGAAAAGGAATAATTCCTTCTCACTTTTTTGGCCTCAAGCTGTTACTTATTATATTTGATTGTCCTATTTATTTGACTATCATTAACCAAATCACATGAATGACACCTAGAGTCATAACCATCTTTAAAAGTTAGACAGCTTTTAAATCACACATTATTTTAAAATTAGTTTTACAAGAGTTCTGAGAACTTTCTTTTTTAATTCCATATGTTGCATCATCCTCCCTTTTATTTACCATTTCTTTTCTTTATCCCCAGAGGTTAAAGTTTCTAGTTGAGAGTCTGTTCAGCTGAAATCTGTACTGTTTTTCCTGAAGTCATGCAATTTTGTCTACAATCTGTTAATTATCTAATTGTTTTATAGTAATTTACAAACAATGCATGTAGTTATCAATCAATCAATCATTGACTTCAGTTAAAGTAATTGGGCTGAGAACTTCTGAAAACTTGAGTGTTTTACTCAAGGTCACACAGTAAGTCCCTGACAAAAACTAGATTAATGCTCCCTTGTCTTTCTGACTGGGTGTTGTGAGGAACCATTAAGTAGTATTTTTCTAAAGGCTGTTTACCTTAAATACAAAACTCAGGCAGCCACTGAGGAGCTCAGGCAGCCAAAATCATGGATAGGAGCTCAGGCAGCCAAAGCTTAGGAGCTCCTGTCACAGCTATTGCTGCAACACACTAACAAGACCACACTTCTTCACATAAAATTGATTTTTAAAAATATGTAAGTACAAAAGTTCCAGACTAAATATTATTTCTTGGGAGTGAAGGGTTAAATTAAGCTGGTGAATTTTTTTGCATAGAATAGCATTTTCACCAATTTAACCTACTATGGAAAACTTATCCCTTTAAGACTTAGTCTTCAAGCTTTTTCTCTGCAACATGTAAAGAAGAAAAGCACCAAAAGCACAAGTTTTATTTCCTGAAGTAGTCCCATATCACCATGATAGAAAAAGCTAATTATACCAATAAAATAAACAACAATTTGCATTATTAAAATGTACACTTTTTGGATTCAATTTTTTCATTGAGTATTTACGTAAGTGTTTTAGTGTTTTACTGAGTTGGGGAAAAAGAAATACAAAATGGTACATAAATGATGGCATGATTCTTCTCCCACTGAAGCAGATACTAAAGCTGAAGAGTGGCTTCAGTGATGCAAAATTATATTGGAAGAAAGGAAATGATTCAACATTCTATTGTGCACTGTGAGGACCAAAGGAGTTATAAAATCAGAAAAAAAATAACCTCTAGGTTTAATCCAACATCCATTGACATCAATCATCAATGGGAATTCTTCTGCTAACATCAATGGCTGCTGAATCAGCTCCTCAGGGTTCACATCATCAACTGTTTTGAGTATTCATTCATATTCAGCACTTTGTTATAATTACTCTAAATACAATAATCCATTATTGAAAATTAAATATAAAAGAATTTAACCTACAGCATTCCATCCAAAGGTGATCCTTCTTCTCTAGATATCTATTTTCAATTCTCAAGAAATATGGAAGGATGTAAGCCTCATAATATAAAATATTTAAATGTCACTACATTTTATAAAGGTTAATTAAGGGGCATGCAAAGACATTTTCATGTTAAAAATGCCCATAGAATTTTATTGGCTATCATTTATTTTTTAACACGTATAACTAGCATAATATAAAATACTTAGAAGCAATGTAATTCTTTAATTAATACCTTATATCTAAAACTAGCCCAGCTCCTCAAAATCATTTTTCCTTGAACAAATACCCACTTCAAATACCTAATAATCTCTTTTCATGGCTGCTCTGCCTGACCCCATCCCCTGCTTAGTCCCAGCTTCCCAGCACTTAAAAAAAAAAGCAAAAAAAAAAAGCCCCATCTCACTGGCTGCAGCAGTGATTGGGGCCTCTTGGTGCTGGTGGCAGAGCCCCCCCCATGCAGCACGGGGCAGTGGGGGGCGATGGGAATCACCCCCACACACACACCTGGTACCTGCGCAGCTCAGCAGGACATTGCATGCTGTCTGGGAGCTGGGGCCACTGTGGCTGAGCGCTGCTGGGCAGGGAGCTGTGGAATTGAAGTGGGGGCAGGAGAATCAAACTGAGGGCTGAAGAATTGAACAAAATGAAACACTGTTCCTTCAAAACAGTGAACCAGAAGTCAAAACAAAATGGTGCTGTTTTGCACAACCCTGCTGCCCAGATGTACCTTCTCTCTGTGACAGCCCTAAAACTGGTAGATATAGAATTGAATGGCAGGGCAGGTATTTTGTTTGGCTTGCCTACATTATTCTTATCTGCTATTACTGTGTATCAATAACATTTGCCTATTATTGAATGGAAAAGTTGTGGTCAGTCTGAGGGTTTGGTTCCACCTGGAACAAGGTATTTGGATCATAAATCCAGTGCCAATGGTACATCTGTTCTTTTTCTAGGCCCATACTGTTTCCATGTCCTGTATGTGGTAGCTCTGGACCCTGAGATGTGCAGGGATTTTCAGACAGGTAGAACCAGTCCATGTAATTGAAAGAGAGGAGCTGTAATGTACTTCTCTGATTAGATTATGAACCAAGAATCTAATGCTGGGAAAGGTTCTAGAGGGCCTAAAAGTATTTTTGCAATTCTCTTGGTCACAATAGATAAAGTATATCTATGAAAGAGCATTTTACAGGACACAGATACAGGTACAATTCTAACTACCGGAAAATGTTTGATTTACCAGGAGAACTAAATTCTGAAGAGATAATAGAAACACAAAATCTAATGGTCCCATAGGTGCTAGATGTACTTATAGAAGCTCTGGTCCCTCATTTCCTGTTAGTGGTACTTAGGTACTACAA